TCTTAGTACCACCGTCTTACATACACGTGAACTTACATAATGTGTAACTACAATATATGCTTCCATGATGGAAGCGTGCAAAACTTTAAAGTTACGTTACATTTTCAATTTTGTGTAATCATTATTAAGATTCTTTATTAGTTTGAACATAAAGCTATACTTAATTTCTTATTATGAAATGCTGGGCTGAATTGCACAAAGTATGCTATCAGTCTCAATTAGTTAGGTTCGGATCAATATCCAAAAATTTAGCAAATACACTCCATGTACTACTACACTACAAATATATTCTTTTTTCATTTGAATACTTCTAAATCTTAATTAAAGGCTTCAAATAAACCACTCACTGGTTAAGTAATTACAAGAAATTTCAATACCATCATTAATGAAACTCTGAGTAAAAAATGTCCAATAAAAAATAATATTGCAAGAACCGGGAAAATACTGAAAGTCAATCCGTACACTGTAAAAGAAGCCATGTTTACTGAGGCGTGTTTTATATTTTTATTTACACGCTGTAGGTCCAAGGAGGCTTTGAAAATGAGATCAAAAAAGATCTCTGAGATAAGATTTTCTTCGTAAATTCGATTTCTATTACGTAAACTTATTCGCTTTGATTTCTGTGTCAGCTTAAGGATGGATGAAGGGAAGTGTTTTCGATTGTTACTATTGTGCACGGTAATTTGATACCTATTTGTATTGATGGGTGCTTATTGGTTATTAGCTTATTTGTAGATGAGGGCGCTTTGGTGATGACCCTTTTTTATTGGGCTTGGGGATTATTTATGTATTGTGGTTGGTTGTTGTGATGTCGAATGATTTGAGGAAGACATTGGAGTAAATTAGAATGTTGTTGAAACTCTTTTGTCTAACATAATTCTGGGTCTGGGTGTCATTGTGTATGTGAATCTGTACGTTTGTAAATGCACCCACGACACGGTAGAAAATCTTAGTGTGGGGCAAATTTGAATGCTCGCATGGAATCAAACAGGAATTACGTCGGTAAAGCCGCAGGTAAAAGCTTGTGGGAAATATAACTACTGGTTAGTTATTCTATCCTTATAGTAATCATTTCTACCTGTCAGGGACTAAATATCACCCTAAAATTGGTATTCAAAACCAACCCAACTACATTAAAACCATCTCATAAACCCCGCTCCACTACATACATAGGTACACTCTGCGTACTTGAACAAAATACAAACTCTGCCAGGGCCACAAACAGTTTCCAACATCAAATTAGCTCGGAACAGTATTTGTTTAGCTTCCTACAACCGACCAACTTGGCTCACGACACCAGCAAGTGAACCTACTCTTATATTTATATAGAATTTTCGACTTTACTACAAAATCGTAGAGTTGAAAATGTTATATTATATATGACAGAGAGGTGTATGTTGACTTGCATGCGTCTGTACCGACAAAGGTTTTTATTACCTTTTTTGTTAGGTACTGAAAAGTGAATAAAAATTACATTGTAAAAAGGACTGAGTATGTTTGTCTGAATGTTTGTGTTGTACAAACAGCTCTTTGTGGATTGCTCGGAATGGGATTTGGCTTTTTAGATTTAAAACAAAGGAGAGTTTTATTTAATGTATTTTTGGTCGTTGCTTTTAGAAACTTTTTGAATGTGTATCCTTTATGTGATGAAGTGGGTATAATTCACGATTTTTAATTTTATAACTTCCTATTTTTATTACTCCGATCGTTCCTGCCTAGTACCTTATTGAATGTAGTTATTGGTCGATATAGTGACAAAATCTCAATTTTCACACTAATTACGAACACCAAGAATAAAAAATCATCAATGACTTCGACATATGACTCATTTTCAACAAAGTTTTTAAATATCCTCTAAGATTATAAATAATTTTAAGTACCTACCAATCAATTTGAAGTACCAAAATTACAAAGAAAAAACTCGAGGCTAATACCTAAAGTAATAAATGTGTCATGAAACTCAATAAAGCTAAAGAAATAATCTAGACCTAAACCAGAGCCTACAATTTAGACCTGGTAATGTTTAAATATTAACGTTTTAATAGTTCTGAAACACGCTAGCTTTGGTTTTGTAGGTCTAGGTAATAAATTAAGGTCTGTAGTTTTTCTTTGTGAATAATAGTATAGATTTGAATGTTTTAAAGTATATTTGAATTTGTCTATCGTTAAAACATCATATTATGTTATTAATACACACATTAAAATTCATTCAATATTTATCATTTTTATGTCTTTAAATTATGCATTTTAATCTTAATTAAAATCGCAATAAATAAGCGTAACAAAAAAAATGTTATCTTTTTTTCAGCATGGCAGTTAAGTAATTATAAATTAAACATGCTACGTTAATTTACTTGTTCATTAAGAATAAAAATGTATGTTATAATTAATAATTGAAACGCAAAAGTAACACTTACTAATTAACCAAACTCAATATTATTAATCATCTTCGTTGTTCACGCAATGAAATTAATGATTATTCAAGCTACGTCGTAGCATATACGTAGCGGACGCGTAGCAGCTCGTAGCGCTTGTCTACGGTGCTACGCCTATTTGCTTACCGTCTACAAACGCTGTCATTTCCAACATTGTGAACATTGTACTGTAGGGTGACAATCATTTTTAAGGAATGGAGATAATTTTTGTCCTTGTCATAAAACAATTTTACGCACAGGCTAAGTTGATTATTTTTTTAGTAGATTTGCTTTAGCAGAGATTAATAATTTTCATCAAACAAAAATTTTAACCCCAAAATAAAGCCTAAGTAATCCAAACAGGGGTCCACAAACAAGGCCCAAATAAACAAAAAGGAAATATCTATCCGTCTGAAACACGATACCTCAACATTTACCATCGTGAATCCTTAGTTAAATATTAACAAGGATTTACCGAGCGGCGTAAAGCGGTGTCGGCGGACTTAACACTCCAACACCTACTGTTAACACTTCAAACCTGCTTACGAAACTTAATTTGGTGTAGGAGTGGGTAATTGAGCCGATATTAAAGGTGTTTACAGCAAAATGTTCTTTGTTTTTAGGCTGAGATTTAATACTGAAAGTAATGGTTCTGTAAACACTCGGTTTACGACATAAAGGTTGAAGTTCAGGTTATGATACTGAATTTTAATTTAGTCGGCAGTAAGTGGGTTTTATTTTTAGAGCACACTGGAAATATTTCAGACCTTTATAATATTGGACAGTTTATTATTTCGACTGTTCAATACAATAAAATATTGAAATTATGACCAACTTAATTTCAGTATTTTTCCAGCAAATTTTTAAGAAATAAGTATGCTGATTGACGCTAAAAAAATGTGACGTCATAATACACAATCTTGCTTAAACTTCACAGAAAACTGTCGTTTTTGAGAGTTCTAAAAAAGTGTTGAATTTGGCTAGTTGCCAAGTACCCAATTACTGAGATAAAACGCTACAAACATTTACTCAGATACAAAATATTTTGTTTCCACTTTGGATTTCGGATATTTAGAGGTATAACTATCTGATATATTTTATTTCTAACAGCTCTTTAAGTCATATTACACTTGCAATTTTAATCTAAACTTAGGTTTACCTATCTATACTAGTTTCTCAACATCAAGACGGTGTACCAGGACAGTCCGTCTCTCTAACCTTAATTACAGTTACCCTACAACTGTACACGTGCCAGTAAACCAGGTTCGAACACAAGTGCGATCATTAGTGCACTGTGAATGGCATGTAGTCGCAAACATTGCAAGCTTCACTGTGAATGGCGAACAGTTGCAAAACATTTGTGCAAGTTGCTGCAACTTGCCACAACTTGTTCTACTAACTTTGGTATTGAAGCCAAATATTCGTGGTCTTAGGTTAGTTCCTTTGGTAGCAATTACGTTTGGTTTATTGACGTTTCATATGGAAATGTCGAGTGATTTCTGTGTGACTTTTGAACGAGATTTTATGTGTCGATATTGCTGAATATTTTAAGTGTGGTGTATTGAATACTGTATTTATTAATACAATAAGAGTACTAATATAGCTCATGTCTTACGTGATATCGTTCTTAAAATGAAATCAATCGAACCAACAAACTTGATATTTGATTATGTAAGGCTACCTAACCCTCTCGAACATTATAATTATTACGAAGAACTGTAATTAAAGTTTAACACATCCACTAACCAAATGCTTCTACCTTATAACATTTACATTTAATTACTAAGAAACGATTTACATGGAACTAAGATAATATTTAAATTAGACAAGGCTAACAACATAGAACAAACACGTTGATTGGACAAACACTAGACGTAGCTACATCGATAATTCTAGAACGTAATGTAATCACAGACTCAATCACGATCTAACAAGACTATCTAGGAGGTAATCCAGGCAATAATCCAGGCTGATATATTGATAACTAAGATGTAGTAGATTACTTTTATTGAAAGGTAGATTGATGGTTGGTAAATAAGGTTTAGATAATAAGGTTTTCTTGAATAAAGAGTTAGGTCTGTATTTCTATTTTAACCGACTTCAAAAAAAGGAGGAGATACCATGTTCAGCTAATTGTTTTTTTTGTGTTAATATTTCTTGTGTGTTGTGACAATTCTGGCATATTTTTGATGTAAATCTTTACAAGTCATATCATTGGAAGTCAAATTCAATATCAATCGAAATCTGTCTTAAAGACATTGTGCTAGCATTCGACTCTAACTAAATTAAACTTAACATTCGATTGGTTATTAGAATACCTACTTGAAATTTGGTTCAAGCTTCTGTGTACTTTAATGACAATGCATAAATGTCCATTTCTATCGATCCTACGATTATCACTTTGTCATACAAATCTAATAACCTTTAAACTATATGACATGTACACATATTGTTAATGCCGCAAACTATCAGTTGGACTAGTAAAAATCCCTATAACTAGACTCAGAATTTTTGAGACACATTTTAAACTATGTAATAAACAGGACCGTAGGAATTGGTAGTGCATGATTTATTGATAGTACTTACCAATAAAATCCTTGATGGCTTGAGAGCCAGAGTCGAGTATATCAGTAGGGTTGACCCTAATCTTGCAGTATTTCACGAAGGGCATCTCGGGGAGCTTGGCCCATTCTCCTCCACCGCTGGTGGAGCAGTGAACATCAATAGAAATCGAATTCTCATAGGCGCGAATGACGCGCTGTACCTCATTTTCTTGGTAAGCATCAGTGAAGTCAGCTAGGGAAAAGGTCCCGTCCTGAAACAATGATAGAGATATTGGTTAGATAAAGACAAAACATAGAAGTAAATTAGTGTGTTTATAGGTCTCCTCTACTAAAGAAGGACATAACATCACGCCTTTTATCCCCGAGGGGGTAGGCAGAGATGTACATTACGGCACTTAATGCCACTGTACAATGTAACACCCATTTTTAACTATTTATGTTATGAGTTCCATGTAATTGGGGGTGAGCTTATTGCCATATTACCTAGTACAATTCCAGACTACGTGCTACTACTGAGAATGTTTTTTACAACCCAGTAGTACTTTGCCCGACCCGGGAATCGAAACCGAGACCCACTTGCCCGGCAGTCGCACTTGTACTACTGGGTAAACGAGGCAGTCTAAAGAAGGAATTTCCATAAAATCCACGGTTGGCAAGCAGGTTAGAAATAGCAGTTTAAAAATAGTAATTTTATGAACGCTGCTGCCTGGTCTCTGTTAAATGTCTAGTCTCTTAGTTGACTATTACGATACCCGTGAAATGAGTAGCGGTGGTCACACGTGTATTCTCCAATGCCTTAAACTGCTAACTAATAAGATTTACTCACGAACTTATCATGTCGTGGTGGTCCGACAGTTTAAGACACCCGCTTTTTATGCAGGAGGGTGTCGTTTCTTGCAACGGCAAGTACCAATGTGACTTTTTCCGAGTTCTACGTACTTTCTAAGATTATTTAGACATCACTGACAAACGATAAAGGAAAACATTGTGAGAAAATCTGGACTTATAATTTCTAATTATGAGTTTGAAATCGCCAACCCGCATTGAGCAAGCATGGTGATAAATGCTCGAAACTTTTCCGTGCGAGAAGAGGCTTTTGGTCAGCAGTGGCCACTTAGATATAGGCTGTTGAAGTATGACGTATATCATAACTTTAATGTTCAAACTTACTAATGCTTTGAACTATATTAAGGGTTCTATGGGTTCCTATGCCTGAAATAAACGATTTATTTATTTACTATATTGTATAAGTTACAACCACCAAAGTGATACTTCCATTAGTACTCAGGAGATCAGCTCAAGTAAACAAGTATACAGCCTCTAAGTCTCTGAGCCATCCATCAATCCAGTGTGACACGTGTCTAGCAGGTCATTAGGAGCCGATATCTCTCGCAACAACCATTAGACATGTATTGAGAGAAGTTTTTCTAAATTTCGTATATATATTTAGACTTTTTGTGTTCGGTGAGATGCCTTGGTTGGGACCAGGTAAGGAGTTTTTTAGGACTAAAAAGAGGAATGAGTATTGTTGGTATTTATTACTCCTAATTTTGACCCAAATTGAGAAATGTAAATATTAGTTTAACTTTTTTTTGAATAAGCCAGTAAACGAGCTCACGGTTCACCTAATGGTAAGCAACTGGCGTCGCCCATGGACACTCGAAACACCAGGGGTGTGGGACACGTGACATACCACAAAGTGGTACAAGTGAGTTACCGGTCTTTTAGGGATTAGGAATTTGAAGATTATTGGGGATTTGGGGATTGGGACTCACTCACACAACGAAACCGGTCCGGTCGAACCTACCCATTGTGCCCAGCCCAAGCATGGCTCTCCCATACTTGCACATTAGTTGTGTTATTGCTATGAGTTCATATTATATATCTACTCATAAGTATCTATAGTAACTTTTCATATAATTGCAATCATATCATATTGCGTTGAAACTTTTGTTCAATATTCCAGTTTAATAAAGCTTCCATAATTACATTTGATATGCGAAACTAAGTTCAACACAAACCCACACATTCTGTTAATTAACATTTACTTTAATATTAAACCATACTACAACAAAAAACGATAACAGAAGTATAATTTTTCTCCATCTATTCAGAATTTCATAATCCGTTCATACTGAAAGGATTACAGTTTTTCAGCGCAACAATAGCAATTTTATAAAAGGCAGCGTTTATGCGGCACCCATTGAAGTCAACGTTGCTTTTTAAAATGTTAATATAAAAGATTTTGAATACAATGTTTGGATTAGTAGTTTAATATGCAGTGAATGAATTTTCCAATCTATTGTGTATTTTAAAGCCGACGGCAGAAATGAATTATTTACCACCACAATAATTCTTCTCCGGGTATCGTCAGATCTGACCGAGAGGTTTTTAATTTTTTTATGGGATAAGCCGGTTAACGAGCAGATGGATGTCGCCCATGGACACCTGGAACACCAGAGGTGTTACAAGTGCTTTACCGGCTTTTTAGGGATTGGGGAGATTGGGGATGAATAATTGGGCCTCCGGTAACCTCAATCACACGATGAAACACAACGCAAGCCTTGTTTCACGTTGGTTTTCTGCTCGGCCGTGGTATCACTCTAGTCGAGCCGGCTCATTCGTACAGAAGCATGACTCTCCCATACTTGACAGTTACACATTTGACAGAGATGGGCTGTGATGATGTGATCACCAACTCGGTGGCTAAGTGAGACAAATCCTCTAAAATACCAAACAGCCATCCAAATCCTTTATTGTAACATAAAATATTTATTATCTCTGCTTTCAGTTTCATGATTAATCCACAACATAGTCGTATATTACAGACGTACATACATATTACAGCTACAAATCCTGTTCACCGTAGTTCGCCTGTAGTTTTAATTTCCGGTAGCGTTGCGTCGGTAAGGAAATGTCAATCATCGAACTTTCATTCACAGTGTGTCGAGTACAGTTCGATTTTGAACCGGATTTTCTTTTTAATTGAAATCCATAACTTATTATGGTAAAGAGTCTAAATATCAATATATTTTGGACGGTGAACTGACTGAAACCGTGTGATGATAGCTGTGCAGAATACATTTACCATTACTCCTTCTCTATTAAAATAGATTTTTAATTTTCATCATCCCTAGTCTAACGCCACTTAGGGTCACGTAAAAGTTAGTTCTTGACTCGAATTTTTTTTTTATTCTTCTTAATTTTTTTTAGGAGTTTTTTGTCCTTATCTAACGTCAACCCCATCGTACCTTATCTAATTAAATATAGTCTATGTAAATGAAAGGGAATCATTAACAAGGTATGACATATATCAGAAAAGTTGTGTCACTGTCACCAGTTCACACAATCACTTTGCAATCTTCGTTTTAGGATTTGTTAAAATGTTTTGAACTAGGCCAACATCTAATTTATTCAACTTATATTTTGTAATTAATGATTCCCTTTCATGATTGTTCCTGGCACATTCCATTAGCAAATGTTGTACGTCCTCTACTTTGTTGCATCTCGTAAAACTTAGGTCTCGATATATCCTACATAATTAGTCAAAAAATATTGTTTATTGTTTTTGAGTAAAACTTTTTTCTTTTTAATATTAAAACGAATTTTGGTTTTCATCTGTTACATTTTTCTTGGCGAGGAAAATAAACAAAAACTTTATCCAATTAGCAAAGTTTCGAGTTCAAATAACAGCGATATTAAATTACTTTTGAAGCGAAGAATTTTGGTCTTACTTGTTCTTTCAGACCTATAAGTTTCAGTTCATCTAAATTGTTTTATGATAGGCCTCTGATATTTAAGTACTAAGGAATTTTTGATTACTAAGTACTTAGGTCTCCAGAATAAATATTCGGTACTTGATATCGAATTTTGTTACTTCTATAATACTTGACTTCGAGCTTGGCAACCACTAAACCATTGACAAGAACAAAACAAATAATATTAATAAAGTCAACAATCAGGCAAATACCGAGATAGCACACGAATAAAATAAAACCTTACTAAATAATAAAGGTCCATCAACTTTAACCAAAATTCTAGAATTTATCTTTAGTACATTTTCAATTCCAATCTACTCAATCGTAATGGGAACTGACTATTCTATTATGCCAACGCTCCCTTGATAATGTACCTTAATTTGTCGCAAAATGGCGTCCTATTTTAATTCGGCGTCTCTGATTGGTGGTGACGTAAACACGTTAATTTCTTTGCTGTTCATTGGAAGCTTTTGCTGTTTATTTATAAATTGTTCATTTAGTTTTATTGTAGTTGTCTCTGTTTAAGTGGTGTTGGCTTTTTGTAGTTTATTTCGTAGACTAATACTTATAGGGACATACTTTAGGTCTTTGCTAGATCTTGTGCGTTAGTTAGTATCGTTAGCAGGTCATTTGTATCTCCAGTATTATTTGTTGATTTACTGTAAACGATGTCATGATGTCTTCACTATTTATTTCACGTACTTCGTCTACATCTGTCCACCATTTATTTATATTATTATTTTGTAGATTCCTATCTATTATCGAACTCTACGCTATAATACATATACATATTATTATATTTGTATCAACCAAGAGAATTAAACTCGAGACTTCATGATTAAGCTTCTTGACCAGCGCCCTGCTAACTAATGTTTATGTACTTACATATTTATAACTATCTAGTAAAGAACTGCCACCATACCTGCATGATCCAGGAGCCGTTCCCAGCGAATGTATATCCAGCGTGCACAAGGTGCCTGTGTCGAGTAAAGGAGCTGAGCAGGTTCCGCATGCACTGCATCAGCGTGTTCATCTGTGGGTGGATCAGGATCTCCGTCACCAGGTTCTCTGAAGCGAACTGGATCAGACGTTCGCCTGGAAAGAAAGTTACACATTATAGTCTGGCATTTAAGGTCAATTTGCTATGAGAAGATTTATTTCTGCTTCTTGTTTATTTTAATTTGCAACAGTGTATGGTGTAAGTTTTCTAACAATTGGTTTATCATCATGGCTTACTAAAAAGTTATATACGAAATGCAAAGTATTTTCAAACGGCTTTAGATTTAATTTTTTTCTTGTATTAATAAGGTATGTACTAATAATCCTTCAGCGTTTGTGTCTCATTCATGTTATTTTGGAGTACTATCATATTTAAACAAAGAAATAAACCTTTCTATCTACTATTATCTAGAGTCGATTTTTCTATACCACAAAAGTCATACAACTACAAATTCTTGTATACATGTTCCACTAAGTCAACATTATTCCATGTAATACAAATAACGGTTACATAAGAACCATAAAATCTTTCTCGTTCTTAATATTCGTGGTTCGTGGCTAAGTAATATATTGCGTGTTGCCAACCCATAAAATTACGTTAGGACAATCTTTAGTTTTCGTCCCGTTTTTGCTGGTTCAACCGAATGAGGTTTCATTGTAATACGTTTTATCATTGACATATTTTTATTTGGTGTTTCGTGGATTGTATTTTGTTTTTTTTTTATTAAGTGCTGGTTTTTATTTGTGGTGATTTATTTTCCTAGCCGTTGAAGTTATTGTAGCTCTTTGAGATTTATTATTGTGTAACCTGCCTCCAGAGCCATATCTGTGCTATATTAAAATTTGTTCAGCGATTTCAGTATCTTATACTAATATATAAAGCAGAAGAGTGTTTTTTTGTTTGTTTGTTTGAACGCGCTAATCTCTGTAACTACATGTCTGATTTGAATAATTCTTTTTGTGTTAGATAGCACATTTATCGAGGATGGCTATAGGCTATGAAACATCACGTTACGAACAATAGGAGCTAAGCAGAGCGTGTGAAACCGCGCGGAAGTACCTAGTCTACAATATAAATAAATAATTAGATTAGTAAGATTTTTGTATCTCATCATCATGTCATGGGTCAATCATATTTCTGCTTCATTAAATTTCATGGTAAATAATAATCTATCTAATCCTGGTACCAGCCTCTTACTGCCAGTGTTAGTAATTCTAACGTCTACTTCAACACTTCTAAAGAACCTTCATCACATAGTTTTCTAACCCTAACCGTACCGTAAACAGACATAATTTAACCTAACCTTGAACAGCCCACGCCATAAGTAAAAATATGAAAACCATGGCGACAAAAAAGGTACCGCAGTGCGCCATTCCAAGCACCGTTATCGAGACATCTCCATTCACTCCCATTCATTCGTTCACCTCATTCACCTTCCCATTCATTGCGTGACGTCATTTATTTGATTGTTCCTCTTAATATAATTCGTTTTTGGCTTTATCTGCTGCCATTTTGTTTGTGTGAGCTTGAAGTGAGCAATCGACTTGGTGATGAAGTGTTTGAATTAAGTGTTAGGGTAGTTACTGTTGATGAAGTGCGATTTAGTTTTATGTGATGTTCTTGGTGACTTGAATTTGTTTGGATCAGGGTGGACATGTTATTGAAAGAATTCGTTTACGCTGGTTAGGGTAAAAAAGCTTTGAAAGTCAAAGTCAAGGCATTTATTTCAAAGAAAACTTGATTAGGCATTTTTGACACGTCAAAAATTTTATTGTCCATCCGTCTGTCTATCAGTGAAGCTAGGCGCTTGTTTCAAAGTGTAGTTTGGAATCGAATGGAGAAGAACGAGCAAGAAACCCTATCGTATAAAAAGGTTTGTCAAAGATATTTTGCAGTTAAAAGAAAACCAGCGTTGGCCAGGAATGCTCAACTATATGCTGAGGTGGAGGCCCTTTTGGCATGTGCACACGCACCACAATATTACATATATATTATTTATATTTTTTTTGTATATTTAATTTCTCTTTATATCAAAAACTTATTGTATTGTTTCATATTGTATGTACATAATTGTGTTATATTTTGATGATTGTTGTTCTTTTCTTTACGCTTTTAAGTTTGTTATTAATATTATGTATTTATGTAAGTATCTGTATTTTTATTTTTCATAATTTGTTTGTGTGCCATTTGCCAAATAAATGCTTTTTCTTTCCTTCTTTCAGTTCAAAGAAATTAAACAATAGTGTATTGCGTGTTACAATTGAAATGTATACTTGAAAACATCAACAAAACGCGACCGACAAAACTAATAACGACAAAAATGTATACAATTGACAAACAACCATACGTAGGTATGACAAAACTCATGTACAAATTAATCATGACAATGACAACGTATCGGATCAAAAGCGTAACATTAAACCTGAAAATAAATAAAAATGTCGAACCGTGATCCATCGTATCAATTAGTAGCCAATTTGTAGCCGATCGATATTGAATTAATAACAGCGGCCATTGTTACCAGAATGTCAAAGGCTCTCGAATTTTTCGCTTTCCTTCGTTAATTGTTGTACCCCAACAAAAGATTTTTTGTTAATCCCTTTTCTAACAAAGTGAGTGGAATATTTGAAGTTTAATAATTATGTCGTGTCTGTAGGGAACGTGGGTTTGAGAGAGTAGAAAGAAAGTGGACAAAGGTAATGAAGTTAGATATTTTTATATCGAGAAGTCTAGTACGTACGAAAAGGAGAATATATTTTTTTTTCTTTTTTTTATTGCATAAGCCGGTAAACGAGCAGACACCTGATGGTAAGCAATCGGCGTCGCCCATGGACACCTGGAACACTAGAGGCGTTACAAGTGCGTTACTAACTTTTTGGGGATTAGGAGATTGCGGATCGTTGGGGATTCAGGGATTGGGGAGATTGGGGAAGGGGAGGGTAATTGGGTAATCATCATCAACGTCATCAGTTAAAAAAGTAAATACGTTTTTATAGAATTTCCTATATGTTTCAATCAGGAAACTAAATAATACTTAAAAAATATGTCTAAAAGACATGATTGCAGACCCAGTCAATGACTCTATAAGTGTCACATTTTAATTAAAAATTAACAATCCTTTTGAAGATCATTATCTTAAACACGGACTTAATTAGGATTATCATTTCGCAGCTGAAACAATTATAAAACACCTCGGGCTCTTCCGAAAATTCCGAAACAAAATGAAGGCAGAATTTCAATCAACTGCGATTGTTTCAAAACTTATAAATGTCTGAATTCTGTTAAAACTCTCCGAATATAACAATTTGAAAGAAAAATATTTGATATCAAACCCCTAATAAGTTTTTGGGATCGTATTGTTTTATTAAATATTGGATCTTAATTGAGTTGGGTAAAACATTATTGGATGTATTAATTTCCAAGTTATTTCGTAATACTCTGAATTCTGCCCGATTTTTGTTTATTAAAGTACTACTTCAGTGTCTTACATAAAAACAATTAACGAACAAAAACTTAAGTAAAAAACGACACTAGTTTTTTAGTAAACCCACAAGAGACAATCCTTGTGTAGACCATTATTTTTATGAAAATGGTATTTATTGTTCTTGTATTTCTATTGAAAGTTATGATTTTTTATGTTAAATACACCAAAGAAATCCCTTGCGTTACCAAAATTGACGGAATATCACAAAGCTTATTGGAAAAGTGTGAAAAATAAACGATATAGACGAACAAAGGGCTTTGTTCGTGTGAACATGGAAGGGAGACAATACTCGACTGGCTTTGACACCAAACAAGAGGTGGCCTTCAGAATGTGGACCATGGGGTTGTTTGATATGAAGGTAATAGGGAAATTGTTGTTTAGACACAATAATAATGTACGTAAGTTGTTCTTTAAACAAGCCTGTTTCTTGTATGGACCCAATATTATGTTTGTCGCAAGATATTTTAATTAATCAAGACAATCGTTCCGCTCATGTAGCTACTATTATTACACAATACATAAATAATATAAAAAAAACCTTTTGACTTAAAAAGAAAAATAACCAAAATTATTAATTGCAACGATTGCCCAAAAATTGTTTTCAAAATATATTCTTGCTCGATTATAGTCGCACTTACAATCACTCGACCATTTGCTACATAAAAAATAATATTAAAAACCACAGCAAATCCTATAACGAACATCCGATTACATTTCAACTCGCAACCACCACTCGAATCAAATCGAATCAGAAAAAGAGCAATCCGATTAGTCGGACAGAAATACCATCAATACAGAATAAATCTTCAGTGGGATGAAAATATAAAAAGCGAGCAGAAGTATGGGATAAAAGACGTTCTCGGTACGTTGTCAATAGCCTGGCTGAAAATACTGAAGTTCCTTGAAGTAGTGTAAATCCTCGATCTTTCAGTGGGGATGAACACTGATGTATTGGGTGTGTTCTAGAGAGCTAGAACTCGGTGGAGATTCGAACGAGGCGATATTCTATTGTATATTTTTGTAAAAGATTCCATGTGGTAACTTAGTAGTGGTTTTATTCTTGGGAGTAAAATCATAATAACGAAAGTGGGTGTGAATCGTTTAGATTTTTATATATTTCGTTTAGATGCTTAATGGTAAATCGTGAGATGTTCAATGTTATTGTTACTATTAAAATATCAAATACTTTTCTAATTCGATGATGGTTATATTTCTCGGTATACTACCGCAACATAAATATGTAGATAACGCAATTATTTCCAGCAATAACATTTAATATAAGAGTGATTTCGTAATCCGGGAGAGGGGCAACCGCAAAGGGTGTTAGGGCACGCCCCATTGTCGGCCGACCAATACCTGCCGGGAATAGGGATCGGAGGAAGAGGAACTCCGCCCCTGGCAATAAAATAGCTGAGGAAACATCGAGGTTTTAGAATCCCGAGGTCCTTATTTTTAGGTCATACATCTGACGGCTATAAAGAATTTTCCACCTGAACGAGAGAAAGTTGTTAGAATTTGAATGTTCAGTCTTAGATATTTTTGGGGTAATACGAGTGAGTAGAGTTAGTGGTTTTCTGTTTGGCCAGTTCTGTTATATTTTTCATTATATTC